AATAACTGCCGAATTGGAAGTCTTTCAAGCGACCATTCACTTTATCGAGTTGTTCACTAAAAAAAGACAAAAACAATAATCCATGGTTTGTCGGATTGATTAGGTACAAAAGAGCCACTTTCACGGCACTGAAAAGGGCGAGAATCTACCCTTCTACCGCCTGGGTCTAGACAGCTACACGATATTCCGAATGACAGATGAGGCGCTTTTAAATTATGCCCATCTCGCTGTCCCTACAGATCTATCCAAGCCAGTTTGGACCCGTCATTAGATGTTTCGTGTAGCTGTCTAGACCTAGTGGTTGTAGGGGGCCGATTCTTGTCTTCCCGGTCCCTTTAATTGCGCTAAAAACCCATGAAAAAACCTACAACGCTTCGGGCAGCATATCGAGTAGACAAACAGACAAAAATACACCGCCAGCAAAACATGTAACCAGCGACATCAGCGGGGAATTTTGCATCGAGAAGGCAGGTAGGGTACGGAGCTGAAAAAAAAGCTTAAATTACGCGAGTAAATGTGATCTTTATCTTAATTGATTCTAACGAGTTTTTCAAATTTTAGTCGACATTTTCATTACCGTACCTTTAACGGAAGCAACCCAAAAATGGCCGATATGACGCCCATGGCCAGCAGGAGGCCGATTTGCAAGATCTGTGTCTCCATCCTTAAAAATCTGAAAATTTGCATTTTTTGATGTGGGGTTAAGTAAAATGGACGTCACTAAAAAGCAATAAGCATCTAAAATAATAATTTTTCGCTTGAAAGTCGAGATTTTGGGGAATTTCCAGAAAACATATGGCGCACAGGGCGGTCAATAAACCATGGGAAAAGCGCTTAGGATTCGATTTGCAGGAATCGGGGCAATTGAACCCCTTATTTCCGACGTTATACGCGGAACTATAACTATTAAAATTGACGAAAATACCCCCAGAGCAACCCGTTAAATACCGGCACATTTTGGCCGGGATCGCACCCCTTTTTTGACCGTTCCCCCCACTTCCGTTCGGCCGTAATCAGTGGATTGGCGGGTAGACTGGTAGGCAGAAAAGGGAGAAAGAGTGGGTAGAATCGAGAGAAATAGAGAAGATACCCCGAGGGCAAGTACATAGAAACACACCCACGCTAAAGCAAAGAAGTGATTAGGGACGGTAGAGAAACGTCATAACAGATAAAAAGGAGGACGGTGATAGGGTTAAAATCCGGTATACTACAAAATTAGGGCTTCCAGACTTAATGAAAATTTCAACTGGTTGCCAATTAATGCATTAATAGGTCTCAGGAGGCTTTGAAGTAATTCCTATTAGTTTATGCCCTTTTGCGGTATCTTTGCATTAGGTAAGACCGACTAAAATGCTAAATGTTTTAACATGCTATTAATGCGTACGCTATCAGTGCCCGTAATTTAAGCAAATTAATGATATCGATACTGAGCAAATCATTAGTAGCTAAATACAAAAAATTGAAAATGAATGAAATGCTTTTGAAAATTAAAAAAAAAGGCATTTTAATTTTTTACGCATCCTTTTTCACACGCCTATTTGCACGCCAAAAAGCAGCAGATGAAACCGAAAATGGAAAAAATGGCATCATTGAGCGCAATTTGCCGAAATGAATCGAATTGTTTTAATTTTAGAAGACAAATCAAAAAATCGGCATGCGTTCCGTCATTTTCTTTCTCTAGGAAAGGAATGGATGTTCCAGTTGACAATTTCGATGTGAATTACGATAGTCTGTCGACCAGTCAAAGTATTCCACCAGCAAAAAGGGCAACATTCGCGCCCAATAGCTTCTCGTCATAAAATGAATCGGAATGGAAGGATTCGCAGGGAAAAGCCGGAATAACAAGGGTGTTTCGATGAAAACACGGCATTGTTAATTCACGATAAATACGACTGATTTTAGAGTATTTAAGAACATCGCCCAAAAAAGAGAAAAATGCGAAAATGCATAAAATTCCATTTTCATTTTTTTGCATTGGTTGCATATCTAAAATCCTGAAATTGCATATTATCTTGCTTGTGTGCTTGTTAAAAACTTGCGGATGAAAATACAAATTTACCAAGATTATTTTTAAATATCGTTTTTGTGTTTTCACGGTTTTTCTGCATTTTTAAATTTTTCAGAAATTATAATAGTGTGACTTCACGATTTTTTAACGAATTAAAAAAGCTAAATCAATGTGAAACGCCCCAAAAAACTGTGCGCGTCACTTTTTCGCTTAATATACGTGGTCTGGGTGGTACATTTATTTGGTGGTTGCATTCCTGGATCCAGAATTTCGGGCATAATTTCTGGGCAAACTCTGATGTTTGTTCGTCTGTCTGTCTATCGGTTCGTTCTAAGCTTTTCTTTTCTGTTCGCCTGCCAAACCACCCATTTATTTGTCCAGAAAATTTAGTGGGTGTTTGGAAGCCACACATCCATCGTCAAGCTGGCAGCTGTTCATCCGCGAAACAGCCGTTTTTCGGTGTGGTGCTGCTCTTAAAAAATAAAGGTCTGAAAAATTGAAAGAACGTTTGCCGTGAGTGAAGCTTATTGCGTATTTATGTATAGGGGTTTCTGAATAAAAAAACACCCACTCTATCTAACTTGTAAAATCGCTGGTTTAAAGAAAAACATGGTTTTGAAGATTGCTGCAAACTCGCCGTGTCAAGGGCTTTCGAACTTGTATATAGCTATCGGTCCGATCCGATACTTCTGCGTCGGGTTAGAGGGGGTGGTTTTGATTGGGACACCCTGATTAAAATTTCAGTAGATAGAGTTGAGTCGCCAAAAATACCATGTTCTGCCATTTCGGCTTGTCTTCCTGTTATGGTTTTTGCATTTTCTTTGTCCTGTTTGGGCAAATTCAATAAATTGCGAAAAAGACCTACCCTACGAAAGAAAACTACACTCGTCTCGTCTTTATAGACATTTTAGAGGCCCAACGCAGACCGGGAAGTCGTTTTGTAGCCTGAAGACAAAGTGTTGAGTGAAATATCTTCCTTCACGCCCCCCTTGGATACGAACTTCAAAGGTAAATCGAGAGGGATCCAGGCACCGTCTTTTGGAACCAGGCGTTTTGAAATGAAGCAAAAAATTGCCATTCTCGCGCTTTTTTTAATAGACTATTCATTCAGCGAGCTTGCCAGCGTTTTCTATACCAATCAAACCGACTACTCATTTACGCCTTCGCGCATGCAAGAATGCGTGAAAATACCGCGCTGTGGAGAGTACGGGGAAATCACGTTGAAAAATTTGATGCATCGGACATATCAAAAGCCCGCTTCCCAGTTCTTTATTTGGAGTTTCCAAAAGCGCTTTAAGTTGCGCAAATTTCCATTATTAGATGTGGTGGTTAAGATCTGTCAGCAGCAGTTCAGCGACCAGAAAACTGACACTTCAAAGGAATGTCTCGACCTCTACAATCGATATGTCAACCTGTAAGTATATCTGCGCACGTGAGTCGGCGTTAGTCGACCGAATTTCCGACCTTTTTAAGGCGTTGCCGAGCAAAAATAATTCATTTTCAGCCTGTCTCATCGATATAAACCTCGTGCCGGAGAGACTGGTGATCCTTTCATACTGGCGTATGCCTACGGAGCAATGCTTTTGGTGAGGTCGCCATTTGCCCAAGTATATTAGGGACCTAGTCGGAAACCCAAAACTGCTCAACGCCAATGCACCGACCGGTTGTTTTACGATGCGCAATTTACGAGGCACTGACTTTTGCGCAAGGTTTGATCGTTGTGATCAATTTATTCATTTCTTATTGATTCTAGTTGTGCTCTGGCTGGATCGGCGCTTGTCGATCTCAAATTTTACACCGGCATCACATACAACCTTGCGTCCCGCACGTTCAGAAACGGATGTGGCTCGGAGACGTGGCCGAATTCACAACACGTTTCTAGGCGATGCTGTTTCCAGGGATCGAAAATCGCACAGCTCACGTATATTATCACTATGTAAGGGCACCCTGACTTTCTTTTTTAATTTCCATTAGATACCCCAAATTTTTTTTGCGAGTTTTCGTTTTTAGCAGGCCGCGAATAGCGTATGGGTATTAAAACCTCGGCCTTACTTATGTTCTGACACTTGAGAAGCAGTTCTTTTATTGGGGTTGGAACGTAAGTCTCTCGCATTTTTCAAAGCTCGTTGCTTGGCTTAATCGTGGACTTTGGACCAAGTGTTATATATCATTCAAAAGAGCTTTCTTTTCTCTATCAGAAACTGGTATTAGTTTATTCTCTACGATTACATTGCTCGACATTAATGGGTTAGAATGAAAATCGTCGCTTTCCTTTGAGCTCGATTTTGAGCACGATCGCTAATTATTTTTACAGTTGACTTTTTGGGTTTCGAAAGAGTTTTTATTCTTCTACTTTTTCATGTAATTAGTTTATTTTCTAAATAGTCTTTCAGTAATTTTAGCAGTTCGAAAAATTGACCAAAATGCGCCCTACCTTCACTTGCTAAATTGTGCGTTAAAAACAATTATGAGCACATCCCAAGCTCGTGCTCGACTTTTCTGCTTATTGAAAAAAACTACAACGTTCAAAATCAAACAGAGCTAGCATGAAATTTTCATGGAAAAACATCAACCGAGGAGAACTAATGTCTGGTGCGATAATTTGAGCCCGGGTTTAGCGTAGACGAATCCATAAACCTGATAATCTTTGGCGGCAAACTGTAGTTCTACTGAGTGAGTACATAATAAATCAAATTGAATTTGATAATTATGGTAAGGAAAAATTTTGCATGGTGCGGTCGTCGATCCTTTGAAATCATTTTCGCCGATACTTCGTTCCCCCAAATCCATGCGAAAGTAACGCCTCTAAAATAAGCGGCTATTGGAGCCTTGTAGAGCAAAAAATTCTCTTTCTAATGGTATATAGGACACATCAAAAAAGTTAGGATTTCCGCACGAAAATTGAGCTCGAAAATACGCAGAGACTTACGTTCCAAACCAATAGGTGACCAGCGAGAAAAGTGAATTCGAGACCTACGACACCTACGTTGTTGATGACAACGTCGGGCTGCTATGCATGGACGACGCAGTGGAAAGCCGCGTGCCCACTTGTGAAAATGTACCCGATTACTGACAAAGTAATATAGATGAATTCTTGTTTTTGCTAGCCTTTTGATCGGTGTACTGGAATGAAGTCCCGTAGATATATTTTTCTAATGTTCGTGCGCACGACCGCTCGTTCCCACGTCCGCGCTGCGGGTCGGCGCTGATCCACAGCAAACTTCAAATTGTTGAAGGGGCGCGTCGCAGATTCGAGTTGAAAATGTTGCTGTGAACTCCGATAGCTGTCCGCCAGTGCCAGTCAGGGGTAGAATTCTCGCCCCACAGCTTCCCGTCATAAATGGATCGGAATTGCGGAATGTCCCGGAAAAGTGGAAATGTTGGTGCTGCCTGGATGAAAACGGGAAGTGCGAAGTTCGGTTTCCGTTATTCTTGCGTTGAGCCACAATATCACGCACAAAATTTTGATTTTGGCTGGCGTCAGGGGCCGCCTCCGGCTCGCGCTAAATTGATCGAGCTGATAAGAGCGAGGCTAAATGAATGGCCCCATGCCGAGCTCGACTTCCTCAGGAAAAGCATAATTATGGCCTCAACTAGTCAACTGATCCGGGTACTTGGTGGCGGCAGTTTCGGCACTGTATATCTCGAATTCAGGAATAATCGGTATGTTACATTTACTAGATGAAATTGGCGAAGATTAGGGAGAAGAAGAAGAAGGCTAGCTATGCATGCAAATGGGCTCCATGAGATTTTTCATTCTAGAAATGTTGCCACCAAGCGTATTAATGGGATTCAAGATCCGCGGCACCTTCGCCGTGAAGTCAAAAATCTTCAAAGTCTCGGTCACCCAAATATTGTGGAATATATCGAACTCTACGAAACGGACGATGGGCGAACCTCCAATATTGTTACAGCATATTACGAACGGGGGAACCTGAAAAAATGTTAGTGCAGCATTGGATTTTACCGCAATTATAGTTATCTACAAGAAAAAACTGCGATATTCGATTTCACTTGTCGTCGACTGGAAATGCCAAATGTTTGACACATTGGTATATCTGGAAAGCGAAAAGGTTTTCCATCGTGATATTAAGCCCGAAAAGTGAGTTCAAACCAATTCCTTTTTGTAATGTTTAGTATCCTGCTTGGGCAACGATATGAATTAAAACTCTGCGACTTTGGGCTATCAAAATCGGAGCTAACCGACCCTTCAAAGTGAGTCGATGAGGCGCATGTCATGTAGTATACATATGGTTTTAGTTCCAAAATTTTAAATTATAATTGAGCCTGGTCCCAATCTCCCTCTCGTCCATTTTAGCATTGCGTTTCCGTTTCGCTTTTTCTATTGTGGACCAGGCCTCATCTACTCGATCTTTCCTTATCCCAATAACTTTCAGCTTTGGCCGTTCCGGTACTCTCCGCTATACCGCGCCAGAAATATTCGCTGATGAGGCAAATGTATGTATTTCGTCGAACCGGGCATCCCGAGACTTTCGACATTTAGTTTGGAGAGGAGGGGGGGGGGGGCGAAAGCCTCAACAGTGACAAGTTGAAAAACAACATTCGACGTAGAATTTAATTGCGCATCTTTTAAGTGTATTTCTGGAGTGGCGACGACTTCCTATTAAATAGTGATTCTTCAAAAACGCATTTGAGTACGCGAGATTCCGATGTTCCGGCCACTTTCGTGTTTTGAAATGCATTAGAAAAATGATCCCCGCCCAAAATTATGTATTTTCACAAATTTTCAGCAAATTTGGTAAGGTAGTTTTCGAGATAGTTTTTCGAGGTAGCCAACTTTAACGGCCATTTAAACCCCAAAAATGAACTTTTTTAAACATTCAAAACTATGCAGCCCCACTAATTCCTCCATGCTCTTTCATATGGCATCGAAAAAACGGGGTCGAAAAAACTGTGACAAGCGATACTGATACGATTTTCGACTTTTTTTAGCGCAGCTATGCCAGCGATATATATTCCTCCGGGCTTGTTTTTTGGGAATGTGTCGAAAGACGGTAGGAATTAGACCTGTGCATTCTAATGGCTTGTTTTTGGCATTGCTTTTCATACCATCAGCAACCTCGACATTCTCCATTCGCATATTCGTCAAGGTCCCCCAATAGAAAGAGCGGATTGCCGTGGTTCTATTGCCGACCTCATTCAAAAGTTTTTCTATTAGAGTTCGTGAGCTGTTGTCATTTTAGATGCACCCGGCGTGAGCCGGGAGGTCGGCCAACTGCTACGGACGCACTTGACGCCGCAAATTTGATAAAAACGGTGGATATTGTTAATTAAAGGAGTAGGTTAGAGAATTTAGGAGTCGTTTTATAAGCTGTTCCGTTCCAACCAGCCAACTACTGCGGCAGGTCACGCAAGTGGCAGTCGCCCATGGCGGGTAGTTGGTGCAAGAGAAGACGAAGAGGAACCCCCTGGCAGAAACGGTTGGTAAATCGTCTTCACGCGGATTATTGCGAAACCGGGTGATAAATTTTGGGTGTTGAAGCACTATAGTAAAATTATTTTTATGAAATCATCAAAAAAAAGCTATTTGATTTATAACCAGTACTGCAGGATAGCGAGGAAAGTGGCGATGAATTGATGGGAGGCCCGCCAGGTTACTGTCTTCACTTTCTTATTTATATCGACCTTACAGCTATTGATATCGGAAGCCTGGCTGTCGCAGACAACTCTCAGGTATTTATGAAGACCATTTCACAATACGGAGTCGAATAATGGAGGACGAGACAATCCATGGCTATAAAATGTTGACCTATTGCCAAATTTCGGCCCCATTCCATAGCGATAGATTTGAAAACTATAGTTAAAGGGATGCTCTCCCTTTCCGAGGGTCAAAAAGCAAAAACCATGCCGCGGGCGGGGGTTGAACCTGAGACACCCCCCGTTTGTAGGCCTGGATGCAATCGATTAGGCCATAGTGGCAAGCCATTGGGGATGGGGACGCCACAAGAGGGAAAGGTATCCACACACACAGAATGCACAAAATTCTATCCATACATATCCATTCAATCCATACGCACAAAATTCGGGCGTCATTTGTACTGCCCGGAATACATAACTATATATTTGCTGCCAAAACCTTGCGTATCCCTTTAAAGGGCACGTTCAGGGAGGTTTTTTTTTTTGGAAAAAAGCAAAAATTTTTGCCGCGGGCGAGGGTCGAACCCGGACCCCCCGTTCGGGAGGCGCGGATGGATACCAGTCAGCCACAGGTACAACCCCGCGAGGGGGTGAGGGGCGCCCCACGCCCGAAGGAGGGAAATTGCCTGCCACGGCACGGGCAGGCAGTGCGCGCAGTCCCTACGTCCATAGGGTGTACGCGTTGGGACGAGTACACGGCCCCTCCCTGAACCTGCGCTTTAAGACGATTATTGTTGCATGTGAAACACATATTTAGCTTAAAAACTCCTGCTCGCCGGGAACCGTCGCAAATAGTGGCCGAAACGAGTTCGCCGAATGAAGAGGATAAATTGCTTGTAAGGGAGCGCGAAAAGATTCTTAACCGAATATAGTTTTCAGAAAGAAATAGCTGCTGAGGAAAGAGAAGAATTTCAAGCAAGAGAAGACAGGAAACCTCGTATCAAACGTGTTCGGGGATGTATTTCATGGTTCATATATATCATTGCGGTTCTCTGTGCACTCGTAGCCTGTGTCTATGGACTCTGGTGGCTGCTTATTATTCCCGAGGCGCCCATTCCTACCGTCGGCCCCGATAGTCGTCTATGCCGAGGTCATAGGTCTGAATGGTTGTCTATTCTCAAGAATCTGCTCGACCCAAATGAAGATCCGTCCATATGTACCATGATAGGTCCGGTTTTTCAATATCATTCTCGAAAATTATTTTTATCGAAAATACGAAATACGAGAATTGAAAATCAATTTTTCAATGCCGTCCTAAAGCTTGCAAACAACTAATTTCGAACTTTCAGGTTGTCCCCAAGGAAAAGCCGAACTATCGTTTGGTAATGGCACGAAGAGATGTGTGCCGTTCGATCGAATCTCTGGCGAAATACCTGATAACTTCATTTTGGGCGGTTAGTTTGGAGATTTGGCTTATGAAAGAGGGGCGAGGAGAGAGAGCGAGAGAGAGAGAGAGGAGAGAGAGAGAGAGAGAGAGGGCGAGGGTGAGAGCCAAACGCAACTTTCAATGGGAACGGTTTGCGTCAGATTGTCCTTCCGCCGGTGATTGCGATTGTGGCGTAAATGAGCCAGTTTGTGTGCCACAATCTTCCCTCGTCGATTACGATAATGTCACGATGCGGTGTATCCATGAGGGTAGGCCATTCAGATATCATCCGGTTAGTGTGCAGGTACTTCATGGATAATGCGAAATAACTCCGTTCTGTACCCCAGAACATATGCAAATCTTGACTTTTGGAAAAATTCCCTTTGGGGTTTCGGACGAATGTCGATGTTTTTTAGAAAATTCAGTAAATGACACCTTTCATCAGCTAATTCAATATTTGTGTATTGTCAGACTGCACCGAGTTGCCCGGCCATCATTCGTGTCTCGATGGAGAAAAGAAGCAGAGCTGTATACCATATGAGAGATTGACTAAAGTGATCAATGGCACACAATGTGTTTTGGACCCGCGCCACGCCTGTACGTTGCCTTCAGCGCTTTTGATGTGTCGACGCGCGGCATACTTGATTCGTTTTACAGCTTGTCCTCTTACGGCACTAAATTGCGCTAAGCACGAGGCTCCGATTTGCGTGGAGATGAACACGCCGAAAAATCGAGACGGTCCTTTGATTGGATATGATGGAAGTTGGAAGACTTGTACCCTGAAAGGTGGGTCTGGAAATAGTTTGAGCGCTGCCTGACTAGTGTTGGACAGCACCCCGAAGAGAGCACCCCGGGGTGCTTTTTTCCCACCCCGGGGTGCTTCTATTTTCACCCCGGGGTGCTCTCAAAACCACCCCGGGGGTGCCTCAAAAAGCACCCGGGGTGGAAAAGAAAGCACCCCAGCCCCCCTTGGGGGTGCCCCAGAAAGCACCCCGGGGTGCTTTCGGAAGCACCCCAAGGGTGCCTTTTGCGGTGCTCTGTGGGGTGCTGTCTGGGGTGCTTTTTGCCAATGACCGCAATACATGAACTAGGTTATTTTGATCGAATCAGGAGATGAACATCATTTTCGAGCAGTTCGCACAACTCGGCGCCAATCCGATTGTAACTCATTTGGGGGTCGTTTGGTAGCATTTCTTCGAGGTTGTGAACACGGCGGACGATTTCGAGAAGTTTTTTTCTGACCGCGCTAGCAGCCTAAAGAAGCTTGATGGAATTGATTCAAGCCGTTGAGAAGGTTGCATTTTGAACGCTCTTTCTAACGGTATACTTGCCTTTCTCCAAAATCGTCGGGGGACAGAGAGGGGAGTGTTTTAGTGCCGAAAGGAAACGTACACTGATTTCAACAGATCCGAAAATAAAAAACGTCGATGTGATAAAATTACTCCTACTAATAGCTAAATGAACATTTGTATACTCTCAGAATGCACCGAGTTGCCCGGCCATCATTCGTGTCTCGATGGAGAAAAGAAGCAGAGCTGTATACCATATGAGAGATTGACTAAAGTGATAAATGCCACACAATGTGTTATAGACCCGCGCCACGCCGGTACGTTGATAAGTTACCCCGCGCATTAGTCCCGATTTCTTACAGCTTGTCCGCTCACGGCGCTAAATTGCGCCAGGCACGAGGATCCGATTTGCGTGGAGATAAACACGACGAAAAATCGAGATGGTCCTTTGATTGGATATGATGGAAGTTGGAAGACTTGTACCCTGACAGGTGGGTCTGGAAATATTTTGAGTGTTGCTCCGTTACCGCGGAAGCGGAGAAGTCCGACGAAGCTCATGCGAATAGCTCCAGGTCAAATATTAAAGGTGCCCATTACCTGTTACGCATAAGATTACTTATTACGAAAATATCTTTTGTTGATTTCTTTCGAAAACTTTTAGGGTGCCCATCCGGTAATCACCCATGCCTGGTATGTGAGAAGAACCGTAGATTCCTCTGCCTGCCGTATCATACCATTCAGAAAGTTACGGACGACAAGCGCTGTCCATTGGTCAAATTAGACACCATTAAAGGTAGCAATTATGTTATATTGAAGGCTTTTCCTAAAGGTTATTTTCGAAAAATAGTTTTTCAAAAATCAAAATTTGCGAAAGATTAGCAGCCATTGCCGACTAATAGCCGGAAAGTTTTTTGAAATTCTGTAACGAACCGACTTTCGAAAAGATGACTTTTCGAAAGCAACTCTAATCCGTCCCCCCTCCCTTGTCCCCCTGTGTTTCCTCTGGGGTGGCGGGGGTGGGGAGGGGAGAGCGAGTAGGCCGCGAAGATGATTTTGCAACCCCGTTTCCAGCGTTTTTCGTTCCATCGGATGATTGTCATGAGATGGCGAAGCAAAAAAACGAAGAATTGATCGCATGCTACACTAGTCATGTGCCTGGTGCCGATTATACTTGTGTGCCATGCGATCGGCCGATGAACATAGAATTTGGTCCGTTGACCCAGCGTATGACATGCGAATTTGAGGGTAGGGTAGATGGAACGTTAGTATTGGAGTGCCTTAAAGGGGCAACGAAGTGCCAAAAAAAGGCCGGAAAACCAGAGCGGGTACGTCGAAGGCCTCTGTGGGCCCAAGGGGCTGGGAAGCTCGCAAATTTGAAATTGCCCGTCGCCACCTACTGAATCATCTTCTCGCTGTTTCTGGGCCAAATTTGATGACTAAAACGCCAAAACTATTTAAACCTGAGTGAGGATTTCAGAAATGAACTCAGAATCTACAAGTCATAGTGTTTTCACCAATAAATCGGGGGAAACAGTTTCGCGCAAAAATCCAAAGGATGAGGCTCTGGTCCCGCAGCGGCCGCTGGCAATTTGCTAGAAATTAGTGGCCCCTCCCAACGGGTCTGATATTTTGCACTTCGTTGCCGCTTTAAAGGTTTCGCCGCTTTTGTGCCGTAGGGCTTTGACAACATAAAACTGCGCAAGGTCAATATCTTGAAAAATGGCGGCTCTTCCCCATTGTTTTTCAGGTGATGTAACTGTATGCAACTGACTTTTAGAATGTCCGATAGACGGTCAGGTGCCGTGTGGATCGAAGTGTTATCCGATGGAGAAGGTGAAGATGGTCAATTCGAATGGTACCTGTGAACGTGGGTAAATGGGTGAACCGACAGAGGGCTGGCCAAATTTCTAGAATATTTTGGTTTCAGCCATGACTTTAGACTTTCGCTTCTAGGCCCTAGCTTGTTATAATAAAATGAATTATTGCCATTAAGACAACCTTGAGAGCCGATAGCCAAGGTTTAAAAAGGTTGCCAAACTGCGGCAGCGTCCCGAAAATGGGTGGACAGAGTAGAATTTCGGCAGCTGGCTTTAGTTGATAATTTCCTGATTTCAGTGCACAAGAAAACAGCGTCGCCGGGCATCGGATGAGGAAGGATATGTTATAGGATTTTTATTTGTTCGTTACCATTTTTTAGACCCCGGAACTGGCAGCAATAAAGACATGCCTAAAGCTTAAGAATTTTTGGACCAGAAACGACATGGCATTGCCCAAACAAGGAAATAAACTATTTTTAGTTAATTTTGGGCGCTGAAGGAGACGATTTAAGAGATTTCAGAGGTGTCAACAGCACATAGAAGAATTGATAACGCCATGTAATAGTGAAAAGAATTCCCTCTTAAAGGGTGCGAAGTGTTTGGTGACGCTTATCTACTTTTCATCCGCCGGCGTTCATGTAAGAAGTAAGATGACAACATTTTTTGGGAGTTTAGAACGTTTATCCATTTATTCGATCAAAAAAATAAGTGCAGGAAAGAAATATGGTTAAAGTTAGAGAGAGAGATAGATAGATAGATAGAGAGAGATAGAGAGAAAAAGACGAGAGAGAGTGAAAGACGAGAGAGATAGAGAGAGAGAGAAATAGAGAGAGAGATAGAGAGAAAGAGAAAAAAGACGAGAGAGAAAGAGAGAGAGAGAGAGCAAGACGAGAGCGAGAGATAGAGAGAGAGGGAGAGAGAGAGAGAGAGAGAGACAGACAGAGAGCCCAAAAACTTTCCCAAAGTTGTATTATACTAGATCGATCCAGGGTTAGATTTCTCTCAACACCTACATACCCCGGCGTCGCTTGTTCCCGATGCTGATCCATTTTCCGTCGGGATCGCGTCTACGTGTTTCGGTTCGAGCGTATCTGCGCCTTCCAGTAAAATTGACTTCATCTATTTCCTGTTCTCCCTTCTTCCATTCTGCTATCAGCAGATCGATATATGGTTGGATTAGATGTTATTTCTCCTCGGTGGAGAAACTAATTCGCGGACATTTCATCTCGGACCAGTCGCAGTCGTAATTTTCTAACAAAAAATTCATAATTTTGAAAGTTTTCAAAAAGAGTGAAAGGAGATTTTTACGAATTTACAAATTTTTAATGTCAGCATTTCATAATGCCGAAATTTAATATAGTCCATTTTTTGACGAAAAAAGCCTGAAAAATTTTTGAGGTTTCGAGTTTGGAGCTTATGAATTTTCGAATTAAAAAGGCTGAAAATATTAAGGTTGAGCACCCAAAAAACCCCGCTTAAACCCTACCACAGAAACCCGAAAAAAGAAATACAAATTCTTTTTTAATGCTTTGAAGGCAACCGAAGCAAAGTGGGTTGAGATTTTAAAGCTGGAGCATGCACACAGAAGAGCTGATAACCCCGTAATATAGTGTCCATTTTCGTCATGCTTATGTAAAGATGCTCAGGCTTCTTTCGGGTAACGCTTATCTGTTTTTCATATGTTCTTGTAAGTTACGTTAGTTACATACGTTCATCTGCTTCAGCCCCGAAAATGTGACGCCGAGGAATGAAACGTTTTGCAATGAGCCCTCGAGCTGTTCGAAAATTTCATAAAAACCGTGAAAAAACCCCGGTGTCATGCAGTTATTTAGATCAGAAATTTGGACTGCGATTGGCTAGGACTAAAAAGAGAATGCAAAACCTCTCAGCCGTCGGCCAGTTCCGATCTTGCGGAAAACCCCCGTTGACAATTCGTGTTCGCGGCATTCATAATTCGACGCTAAATATCATGACAGCTGTGACGAATTTCCTATTTTGACAGCCCTTATCGAACACCGTTTTCCAGGCGGGCGCCTCTCTTGACCCGGCCATTTTTATCGATTCCCCTGGCCTGTCGCGCCGCAAAGTACATCCGTGTCAAAATTTACTAAAAGCCCTGATTTTTGATTTCTCTATAGTATCTTATTTTGATCTTTTTCTCTCTGTTCAAAATGTTCTGATGTACACGGGTGTCCCAATAAAAAACACCCCCTCTCACTCGCCGCAGAAATATCGGATCGGAATGATAGATACACCATTCGAAAGCCCCCTTAGAACGGCGAGTTTGCATTAAGCTTCATAAACAAGTTTTATTTAAATGCGCCTGTTTATAATAAATTTAAAAACATTGAGAGACGTCACCTGCATTTAATTAACGGCTACTTCGGGTCATTTTGCTTGAAAAAGGTTGAATATAAATTACCTCATATGCCAGCCCAAAATGCCGGAAAATCTTACAAAATGGCTTGTAAAATTACAAAATGATTTTGAAGATTGTTCCCAACTCGCCGTTTCAAGGGCTTTCGAATGGTATAAATATCATTCCGATCCGATATTTCTGCGTCGAGTTCGTGGGGTATTTTTATTGGAATACCCTGTAGTACCGCTCCCACCTTCGAATATTTAGAATTTGCAGTCAGATGGACGTACCACCAGCCGATCTGGATTTTATCAATTTACCGTTGCGATTCCATCGGCATCTTCTCGAATTCCTGACCCCAATGGATCCACGGACAAGATTCCGATACGCTAGGACATGCCAAAAACTATGGGAATTGACCGAAGCCGGGGTGCATAGCTGGGCAGATTATGGCGTCATTTTCAGACGCGATTCCACTGTGTTGCTATGTCACCCACGACTACTGCCAGATCTCGAGTTAGTGTACTAGCAGATCCTCGAACCCTACGATTGTTGCTGGCTGGAATTACTGTAAGCGGCGCGGACATCGAATTAATCCCAGCTGAAGGAATTCCAATCGGGATTCGGACTGACCGTCTAGTATTGTTGAATCAAAGAGAGGATGATGCCTTGCTGGCCCTGCTAGAAGAGATGAAGCCACAACAATGCAAGTACGAAATGATAACATTTGAAGCAATAGCCCCGACTGTCCAACTTCTACATTTTATGAATGAAAATGTGAAAGAGGTCCGTTTCCCGATGTTCCTGGAACAAAGTCTATGGTCAAATTGAGATGCCGACACATTTACGGTCAGAACCCGGGAGGAGAAGACGATGATTCGATTCAGCCGTATATCGATCTGCTGGTCGATGAATGGAAGAAGGGGCAACGGGAAATTCTACAGATTGACATTTATTCGGATTATGACGATTACCGAGTTGAAGAACATCAGCAGGAAATGGATGGACAACGGATTCGGGTCGCCCACGCACAACATGGGGCGGACTATGTAATCTGTATCTACCGTAAACGTCTAACATAGTGATAGTCTGTTTCATCATTACAGGGTGTCCCATAAAAAAGCACCCCTCCGGCATTTCGCCGTATTACATCCAATTGATCCCATACTTTGCACAAGGGTGTCTCGGACCATAAATAACCACAATCCTGAGTTTTATCCCGATCGCTACAATAATTTTCGAGTTATCGCCAAATACCGTTTTCTTATGACTTTAACGCTTTTTGGCTGCACCACTGGACTTTGCATCGATTTGCATCGACCACCGGCTGCGAATCCTAATTTCCCCTTAACATCAGGGGTGACTTTCGGTTACAAAATTGTTTGAAATCAACGGTTATTTAATTAATTTACTTAGGAAAAAATTTTTAGGGGTAAAGAACTCTTGCCGCTTCATTTCGCCCAATATTCGAAGGAGTGGATTCCGACGTAAACCTGATGAAAAACGGACAATAAAGTTTATTTCTTGTTGTATCTCGACAATTACAAGTAGCTGGCGGGCCATAACTCAGGATTGTGGTGATTTAGGGACTGATACACCTCTGGTCAATTTTGGGACCGATTCGATGTAATACGGCGAAATGCCGGAGGGTGCCTTTCATGGGACACCTCTTATTTGCTTATCCGCCACTCCAATACATTCGAATAAATGGCTTTTTGTCGAGAATTTATACAGTAAAATCGCGGGCATAAAGATAAGGAATCACTGCAACTGTGAACATTTTTGGTGTTTAGACAGTCCCTTTTCGGTAACCGTTATCCTAAGCGGGCGCTTTTAGACGGCCCAGGCACTTTGATCGATTGACAGGCTGGTCGGCTTGTTTCTGGCAGCGTTCTGAACCTTTATTTTCAGTTTCTACCATTTAGTTCTCGCTATCTACGGGGTGTCCCAAAAATTCGACCCACCCCACTAGCGGGCCGGAGAAGCGTCCGATTTTGACTGATTTAGGTATCTATTAAAGCTCTTCGCAGGCTATAAAACAAACGCTTTTTGTTTGTCAATACGCATCTTAATTCATACATTTTATGATCAAAATGCATGAAAACTGCAGATTTACAGGCGAAATCCGCATGTAAATTGAATGCTAAAGCTCAAAGCCAAGCTGATTTTTTGCGATTTTTAAGAAATCGTTAAATGCTGGAAGGACGGGCCAAAAAAGTTCGTAAAACGAAAGCGCTTGGTTTCTCGCCGTTTCAAGGGCTTTCAGATAGTGTAAAAATCATCCTGATCAAACCTTTCTTCGGACCGCCACAGGGAGTTTAATCTTTTTTTGGGACACCCTGTATTATAACTGCTAATTTTCTATTTTTAGGAATCTCAATCAAATGGATGAATCATCCTGTGACGTAGATTTTATCAATCTACCATTGACATTCCATCGACGTCTTCTCGAATTTCTCACGCTAATGGATCCGCAGACACGATTCCGATACACTTGAACATACCAAAAACTATGGAAGTGACGGAAGTCGGGACGATGGCTGAACAAACTATTCCATCAGAATCAAAGAGTAATTCCACTCTGCTTGTATGCTACCCATTACCGCAAGACCTTTATTTGGTGGATTTGTTTAAAGCGCGAACCAAATCGTTGCTACTGGGCGGAATTACTGTAAATCGCGCAGAAGTCTCTTCAATCCCTGTTGAAGGCATTCCGACTGGAATGCGGGCCGATTCCCTAGAGATTCAAAACGCCCCCGATGAAGCCACATTGATGGCTCTCCTCGAGGATGAAGCCGCTGGACCGGAAGTACAAATTGATAGAGTTTGAAGATATGAGCATCATACCTACTATCCGACTTCTCCATTTTATTAATGAAAATGTCCAAGAAGCCATTTTTCTATACGTTTTTCTGGAACGAGACCTATGGTCCGAGCTGAAATGCCCGAAATTTGGGCTGAATGGCAACAA